AAAATGGATGGATGGATGGATGGATGGGTTTTAACTGTTTTATTGATAACCTTTAGCCAGTTGTAACAACCAGATATAGTCATACATTTATAAAAAAAAAAAAGATAAAATAATAATAAATAAACCACAATTTCAAACAATAGAAAAAACACATACATCACATATCAAGGCAAAATTATTTATATGCAGTGACATCCACAAAGAACAGACAAGCATCCTGTATTTTTGTAGGAAGATTGAGATGGATTTATATTTAAATAATTGGCTGGTTAGCTCAGTTGGTTAGAGCATGGTACTAATAATGCCAAGGTTGTGGGTTTGATTCCTGTAAGGGCCATCAAGTCTTTTAAAGGGTTTTAACCTAAGAAAATCTGTGTTTTACTTTAGGGCAGTTTATAGACCTATAACCAGATATGTCTCTCTAAGCATAATCCAAAACTAACTATCCTTTCAAACTACAAGAACAAATCCCAACAAATAAAACTATATTGTAAAGCAGTATTTAAACAAATAGTTCCCATTACAAATAATTTTTTGGAGCCCATATTTGTCATATCATAAAATACAGTATTCTTTTCAGTTCCAATGTCCACTAGGTGAAGCACAGCTTTCACATTCGGTGAACACCGGTCAAACACGCTGACAAGGTGCCTCCTATGTGGCCACAGATTGCTGTTGCGCCACAATGTGTTATCTTGTCGGACAAAATTGTTTTAAGTTTGGATGTAGTTTGGATATGCATTGCGCACAGAGACAAAACAACAAATCCACCCRCATTCAGGCTAAAGAATCCTTCACACGTGCTCAGAATCAGCTGCTCTGTGACGACAGCGTGCGACACATGCGGCCTTCACGAAAAACAAGTCCTCGATTGACACGACTGCCTGACACTGAACTATGCGGTTCAGTGAAAGTACAAAGACAATTGGCAATCAACCATCGTCATAAACTCAACATGCAGTCGAACTTTTTGAGCTTCTTGCACATGTCATCCTCGGTGCAGAACTCCATCCGTCTCTTGATGAGCTGCGACAGCTGATTGTAGAAAGTCTTCGCCCACTGAGCTTCTAAACTGTCGATGGATATCTTGCACACTTTGTGGAGTACCGTCACTAACTTCTCATTGCTGCTGACCTCGCACCGTTTGAAGACCCATTGACCCCATTGTTCCCACATTTCATCGTTTGTGAAACTCACAGTAATACTGTCTCGGCTCAACTCAGACACTGGCTCTGCATCGTACAAGTCATTCCATATGACTCTGTAGGAACAGATGAGAATAAATAACTTTAGAAAGATATAAACTGGTACAAAGTTWAGAATATGGATGTATCTTTAAAACATTAACCTACACGACTTTTTTCAGTGGATTTGGGGTCAAGTCGCTGAGTGAAATCAAACCTTTGTAGCTCACTCGGTTTCCCTCCATCCTTTAAGAACACATCAAGTTTTAATTTTTCATTTGTGAATGCATTAACCTACAAGCCTATAGTTTCTACAACAAGTAATGTTATGTATCAAAATATTACGGGATGGAGTAATATCAATAAACTGAAAAACAGAAGCTAGGTCAAATCACAAGCTTAAAAACATCTCATCCAAACAATTAACTTTCATTTCCCTGAAATATTTTGTGTGGCATTGTGTAACTCTCACAAGTTTCTTACCACAGTTCTTGAAGTTGTTTCTTCACTCGTATTGCACAGCAAAGAGCCTGTAGCTCATCATCACCAATGTTTGACCATCCAAGTCTAAATAAGGAACAGAAACAGTGACGCACTCTCAGGGTGACTTCATTCTCACCACTGCAGAAAGTTTGGGAGCTTTAACTTGTTTCACAATATACGGCTAGATGAGTCCAAACTTCAAAATGTAGCTCTTACCCAAGATGGGTGATGTTCCCCGAGACCTTCAACACATCTGCAATGACCTGAACTGCATCCATGTCTAAGCTGTTTTCTCCAAGCCTTCGGGATGAAAAGATTGTTAGAAATAACATAGTTATTACAATCCCTAACAAAAAAAATGGTTAAACATCCGGATGGAATGGTCTAATTTTGACATCATTTGGTTGACTTTTGATTGTGTTCCCCAAGGCGCTCTGTGTGAGGGGTACTACTGGAGTTTGGTATTTAACAGGCTGTCCAGTCCTTTTGTACCCAAAGCTAGAGCCATGTCCACATTCTTGGTACTTAGGGTTCTTCTTGGTGATGGTTTGACTTGTCCAGAACTGATCCTTGTGTGGGGATTTGGAGACCCTGGTAGTGTAGTGCTATAAGAGTGATATACTGTATTTGTCTAACCACTCCTGACAATACCAGCTATACTTAGTATGTATGTCTATAGACTGACTATTAAGGTCCTCCAATGCCAGGTCCCCTGACCCATTGCCAGTCAAACCCATGTAAGTTCTACTTGGACGTCAATGCCTACAAATTGCCAATCTATGAACTTCTGAGGGCCACTTACAACAGCTGAGGGACTACGTGCCATTAGAGAGGGTACAAAGGCTGCATGCAGAGGTGGAGCCAGACTTTTCTGCAAGGGGTGGCCATGTTTTTTAGGTTGTCCATTCAGATAAAGAAAACACTGGATTTGAAAATTCGAAATGATTCCACATAGCTTAGCTGCCCACCACATACAACTTTAAAAAGGCTATAGTTCAGACATTTTAAGACTTGTTGAGATCAAATTTATTGTGTTGTTGCTAAAAATGATCGCATACCGATTGCCAATGCTAATCCCAAATTAAGCTAACCACTAACGCTAATGCTAATTTTACAAAGGGAAATAATTCAGCGATTTTTAAACATACAGAGATGAAAATCTGTCACCCCAGCCACCCCTCTGGCCCTGCCCAAGGCTGCATGACTCACCTGAAAGGCTGCTTGAACTTGTCCCTTATTGTAATCATTGCATTGCAGTGACATGACCTTTCAACACAGTTTTACTACCATYCCTCCACCTGGATATTTACCTTTTATTTGGTCGGTGTGTACATTTCAAGTTGCTCAGAACTGTGTAATGAACAATTAAAAATGCGGAAAGCTCCATTTTACCTGAAACTCACCAAAGTCTSTCACATCTGTACAGAAATGGCTGAATATCTCTCAGGGAATCACAGYTTACTCCAGTTCCTGTGAGATCCAGCTCTGAGAGCTTTCCTTCTGTCAGGTTTAAGAAATACTTGATGGCATTATRATCCATCTGAGAGAGTGTTTCGTCACTAACGTTAACTCGAAGTGCAACTTGCTGAACCTCTGACGCCAAAGAGGGATCCTGTTGCTCGAACAAACAGTGCAAACAGTTCAGAATGTGAGCTCCGTTTTGGCAGAGCACTTTAAGATCCGTGATGATTTTCCGACGATAAGTTTCCGCTTTTTCCTTGTGGCAGCACAGCCCCAACTGTCTGGACAGAAAACTTGTGTTTCGGTCGGAGACGATCCCTGATAGGAAGCGGCTGAACAGGTCCAAGTGTCCGTTGTTCATTTCCTCTTCTGGACTCACATTGCTCTGAACCCCATCAGGTAAAGGCTGATCTGTCATCGCGCAGTAAAGTGCAGCGAAGAACTCTTGAACAGTGAGATGAGCAAAGGAGAAAACCTCCTCGGTGCAGCCGGGTTCTTGCGCAACGGTCTTGTCGAGGAAGGTACTGACGAGGCTCCATCCATCTAAGGCAACGACATCTTGGTCACTGCTATAGAAGAGCGTTTGATGCTCCATGAGCTTTTTGAAGGCAAGCCGACCTAGCTTCAGCACAATCTCAGACAGCTGCTGGTCGGTTCTTGGTTTGTCATCTGGAAGACACTTCTCAGTTCTTGCTTGGGTATGAGAACGAAGCAAAGCCGCCACATACTGCACATAAATATCCGTCATGGTTTTGGGGCTTTCTCCACAAAGATCTTTGATATCTTTGAGGATGCAGCAGACAATGTTGCAAAATGCAGGTATGTAGCATAGCGTGAGTATCAGTTCGTGTGCCGATACCTTTGAAAACATATAGTTAGCAATAGTTGCATTTTGAAAATATCGTTCAAAGAACTCTTGAACTTCGACTAAGGAGAAACCGGCAATAAGGACAAAGCGGTCGATGCAGCCTACTGGGATGTGGTTGATGGTTGTAGGCCGACTTGTTAGCATGACAGAAGCATTGGGTAGAAGTTCACCGAGCAACAAACTCCCTAAAATCACCGTCACCTCTGCGTCTTCTTCGGGCTCCGTCACAAACACATCAACATCGCAGCTCTTGTAGTGTCTGAACTCATCGAACCCATCCAGAATGATGAGGAGTTTGTCGTCGTTAACCAAGATGCTATCAAGCTCTTTAGCGAGGTGGCTGTTTTTGCGCAGGACCAGGTCACGGAGATTTGTGGGTTTGTCAATCAGATTCAAGTCTCTGAAGCTCATGTGAATAACAAAGTCGAACGCGAGAAAGTCCTTGTTGCTCCCAAAATCCAAAAGCATCTTCTGCACCAGGATAGTTTTCCCAATTCCCGCCACTCCCGTTACCAGGACCTTCTTTATCGGACTTTTGCCGGTCGTTCTTGAAAACAGCTCAGACGGCGTTATTTTCCTCTGCGGCGCCGACTTCTGTTGCAACAAGAGTCTTTTTTGTCCGAAGGTGAGCACCTCGTGTCTTTTCATCTCCAGGCCCTGGTGTCCGTCGACTAACAGCAGGTTGACGTAATGTTCGGAAAAGAGGATTTTCTCTCCATGTCTGCTGTTGTAGAAGAGCATGTTCTCACTCCTGCGTCTGAGAACATCTTTGTGTTTTTGTTGCACCTTGACATAGTCTGCAGAGGACAAAAACAAGGAATAGTGTGATTTTGTAGTGAGCTTCAGCCATGAAAATATAAAATCAAATGGCTTTCATTCGTTCCTACTTTAAATATTCCTATTAAGCTTTAAGTGTTGTTTGGTATTATCCTCACTGAGTTTGATTTCCAGATTTAAGAGTGCTACTATTTTTTTTAATTACTCTTAGCTATCACACAAATCCTCTGTTTTATATATTATGCTTCCAAAAAGTCAGATTATCCTTTAAAATGGTCTTTACTTGTATTTGTTCAGGTTTTCTGAAAGCCTTTTAAAGTTTGTATTGGTCTTTGGTAGCTTTTTCTTTCACTTTTTGACCAGTACTTTGCAATTTTCAGTGATTTCCTTTATGATTGTTTGTTGTTAAATTATTTGGATTTAACCTAGAAATAATTCTGCCAAATAACGGTTCCTAACAATATAGAATTTGTTCTTATTTAGCTTAATTTTCTTGTAAAATACCAAAAACTATGAGACGATCCTCAATCACAGGGACAGATGAGTTAACACATTTCTTTGAGATTCTAGTGATTTAAAAATATCACACTGTGGACCTATAGTATTCATTAAGGTGATTATATATTTTAGTGGAAACTGTTTTTTATATTCTGAGCAACTTTCATAAAAAAAAGCATTGACCCTAAAGTTTATTTTTAAGGCCCACAAGCAGGATAAAGTTATCAGTGCCAAAATGTGCCTCTTTTTTATTCCAATAAAAGTGCGTAATGTTTTTATTTCTCAACCAATTTGAATAAAGTTTGTATTGTTTGCTTATTTGGTTTTTAGCTCCATCCAATAAAATGGAGTTTAATGCAATTCAGGAACTTTTAGATTTCAATTAGCTACAAAGGCAACACAGTTTGACCAACTTAAGACAGTGCCGTCACACCAATAAGAAGAAGCTATCTCACTTATCCAAAAGTAGTGTATGCAATTATCCTTTATGTATATTAATTTTAAACTAAAAATAAGAGAGTATACTTTCTGTTTATGTACTTCAGTGATGAGCTATACTTAAAGTTTGTGTTACTTGGCTTATACAAGAAATACACTAAAAGTGTACTTGGTAAATGAAAATACATTTGGGAAAATATACTTCATTATACATAAGTATTCTTAATAATAATGTATGTTCTTATATGCTTCTTTTTGGTAAGGGTAGCTAAAAAAATTTAAACAATATTTTAAACATATAACTGAGTCAGCACAAAATACAATGTTGCTTGTTAAAACAACGCCACAAAGGTTGCACAAAGATTATCTATCCATTGAAGCTTGGTTGATGAGTAGGTGAAACTTTTTTTATAATCAAAGTTTATTTGCTTTTGTTTTAATTCAGTAAAGGATACATGGCTACAAGCAGCAAGAAAGTTTGTGAAACCTCAACTAGTTTTAGTTTCGGTCACTAAGAATTTGTATCAAAGATTAAAAAGTAATCTATGTTTTTGTCAAATTACTTTTAAACCATCCTTAGCAAAAAGTAGTAAACACAAGTATCCATTAAGTATACTAATTTTAAACTAAAAAAAGCAAGAGTACCTCCAGTTTACTTTTTACGTACTTATCTAAGATATACTTAACCCAGTTTATTTTACACTATACTTGGCTTGTACTAAAGGTTTAAGTATACTTAGTCTATACTAATCTTTAAATTTTTGGCCTAGATAAACTTTAGTAGTACACTGAAATTACATTTTTTCACACAGCCTGGTTTATTTGTTGTATATTTAAAGATTAAACTAAAAGTATACTTGGAAAATTACTTTCAGTATACCTCTGAGTACACTTTCAGAAACTTATTGTAGGTCAATTTAGTCCTAGAAGTACTTGTTAGTAAACTTCTAGTATACTTATATCAGTGTACATGGTAAATAAAAGTACACTTATACACTTTTGTATRCTTTAGTATGCTTAATGACATGTAGCTGAAGTAGACTTCTTTTTGGTAAATTTATATAAAAAACATTACATCAGTAAACTTAAAGTATACTTTTTATTTAAAAAAATCTCAACTTAGTACGGAGTATTAAATCAGAATACTTTCTAGTAGACTACAAGTATATGGTGCCTAGTATACTTGATATATTTAACCTATACTCAAGTATACTTATTAAAATGAACTTCAGTATACYACTTTTTGCTAAGGGCAGTGAAATCAGGTATCTAAAGGCTAAAGTAAGTTTATTTTTACTACAATGTAGTGAAGTACAGAGGCAAATCTGAACAAATAAATAAATTCATTGTCTAATACCAAACTTTTGCTGGAATAAAAGAATAAATCAAACGTCTTGGATGTCGGTTCGTACCTTTGTGCTGATTCTGAACCGTGCCTCTGTCCTTGGAGTGCTCACGATGGCCTCTAACAGAGAAAAACACCCTCGCTGCCTCCTCACCTTTGCACTCCAGGATATCCAGCACCTTCCTCACCCTGGCCCGAGGCCCCGGCTGACACAAGACCTGCTCCCGGTCATCCCGACTGAACACTCCCCGACTCACCAAATCCTCCAGCAGGGACTCGATCCGCCCTTCCAGCTCATCCACGAGGGCAACTCGCAGCACTCTCACTGCTGTCAGACAAGAGAGACACCCATCGATTTCCACCATAACTGACCTGAATCCACTCTCAGGAATCAGCCGATCGCTTGGAGTTTAAAATCCCACTTTCAGTGAGGAAGAAAGATCAGTCTTTGTCTTTAAACCCTAGAAGAGGAAGTGCTAACAAAACATGTATGGACAATCATGGTTGTAAAGCAGAGACAGGCTGGTTTTTCAGGATGTGGTTAACCTGTTTAGAAATGGAGAGCAGACCTGAAAGTTCCCCCTTTTTTTTTCAGTTGGTYAGTTTTAACGTTCACACCCATTTTTAGAAAAACACATTCTCCAAATTGTACAAAGACAGGAATGCTTTTGGTTTTATTTGGTGACAAAATGGTAAAATAAGCATAAAGCAGAAACATAAAGTCACCAGGAGAGGGCTCTCCTGCTTTAAAAGAAAAGAAAAAAAAAACAACAACCATCCACATTAAAAATTATTGAAATAAATAGTAAAAATGACAAATATGTACATCACATAAAAGCACAGAAAATTTGCTACCAATATTTTACATTTTAAATAAAAATATCCACCTCATTGGAAAAAAAGACCCAGTAGTTTCCTGCAAAGCAACTGTAAATGTGAATCTTTTTTTCTTTTTTTTTCTTTTTTTCATTCATCTTTTTTTTTGTTTTGTTAAAGTACAAGTGCAAACTCTGCTTATCTGGGGACAAAATATTAGAATTATGATTAATTATTAATTACCAATCTCTACAAAGAAACATTTTGCGTACAGCAAACGTCAAATTAACAACAAGCAAAAAAAAAACCCTCTTCTATGCAGATTAAAACATGTCATTTTGCAGAAGCAGTAAACTGGTTTTCATTATATAAATAGGGAAGAAGATAATGTTCTGTAATGTTGTGTTAGTGGTTAAAAGGGCGTTTGGATAAAAACAGATCAAAGACAAACTACAAACAAAAGCGACATTTTAAAAAAATCTCTGCAAGTCATGTTTTTAACAAAGACTTTGATGAGTTCTGAGTGCAAAATAAAAATTTTTTATTTACCTCACCGGTCGTAAACACATCCCTTAGTGCAACCCATGCATGTCAATTCTTTTATGTTTTTCTACTTTCTTTTCTGCCAGTGTGATCCCTGCTGTTATTTACTTCCCTATGGCCTGAAACCAAATATATTAGATTTTACCAACAAGGCATTAACAAGCCAAATGCAAGACAAACTGAATAATTGCTACAAAAACACATCAGTCCAGTGGTTTTAAACAGTCTTGTGGGTTTACCTAAAAACAGTATTTTATGAATTTCAACAGGAAATTGTGGTTCTTTTTTTAAAATTTTGTATAAAAATGTTCTAAAACATTAAATTTTATTAATGKGGGGTGGGTCTTATCCTTTGAGACAGCTATCATATGTTTATATAGATGACTTTAGGAATGCATGTCGAGTTAGCGTGGAAAAATAAAACGTGAAACTGAAGCGTTCACAATTAGATGCCTTTGTTTCCTGGAGAGTCCTTCAGAGTCCAAACACATCTTCGAGAGGAAGATCAGAGCCGCTCTGGGTACGACGGAGCTCAACAGTCCCGACCCCGTCCAGGAGAAATCTCTGAAGCTGTTACAGGATTGGGTTTGGAGGATTCACGTCTATGCAGGTACCTTCCCCGACTTTGACCCCTAGCCTTTTTTATTTTAAACTTCCCCCGCGCACCTCGTCCGACGTCCACCCCTCAGGTGTTCCAGCAGGTTAGGCAGCAGCGGCTCTTAAACTGAGGCAGGGAGCAAAGCTCGAGCTGTCGAACCCTCTCACAGTATCGTGTGCTGTCCCTGCACTCTGCTGCTGGAATACACAGAGTGATAATACGTTAGTACACAAGCAGATTCAATTTAAATGTTATATGTACCGTATTTATTCGTGTATAATACGATCTCATGTATAATACAACCCCCCTTTTTTGAGCTTAAAAAGCATAAAAAATAAAATCCACAAACTACCTCCAATTTCATACAGACTTCAAGATTTTTCAGCCTTTGCAGTCTTTGTACATATCAGTAAAATGATCATTGGACTGTTCATTTTATTTTAACAACATATGTACTAAAAGGTGTTTTGATAACAAATATATATCAGCTGTAGCAGCATCATATGAATTCTGGTGTTTTACACATAGTCCACCAGGAGGCGCCAACACAAAAGTCAGAGACTTCACATGAGATCTGGGCCATCTTCTGGGGGAAAAGCAGATTACTTCCTACTCGCGAGCGCCCCCTCTGGTGGGGAAACGTTTTTCAGGGATACAAACTGTTTTAGAACACCGGTAGACGGCAGCCATTACAGACGAACATGTGTTTGTTGTTGTTCCAGCAGCGGCTCGGTCACTAATGTCATTAGTTCGTTATCATTACTGAGCTGCAGGACTGCTTCCCCCCACCCCCCCTTTTTCCACATCATGTCGCCTGCTTGGATCTCTTACTATCTTGCTCTGAAGAACGGAGGAGTGTCACAGGTGAGCTAGTTTCATCTGCTTTTTACAACGCAGTCTCATTTCTGGACTCAATCATTTTGCCGATATTTCAGTTAAAATACATAAGTAAAAATATTTATCCGAGTATAATACTACCCCCCAACTTTATGGATGATTTTATGGATTAAATTTTATGTATTATACTTGAATAATCATGCTTTAAAATCCTTATTTTTCACATTTAGATCATTCAGAGGTCTATATAACGTGGAACTGCAGTGGTCTAATTTCCTCTCAGTGAATTGGTGATTTTGGAAACAGGTAAAACTTGCATGGAAGTGATTTTTTTTCCTCACCGCTGTCACAAGATAAAACATTGCATCGCTGCCAGCTGGGAGGTCGAGGCCTCCACCTGCACTGGTGTTCCCGGGTTGTTYTGTTGGTTCGACGGTGCTTGCAGGTTACCCGACGTGACTGGAAGCCATGCCGGCCGCAGGTGGCCGTGCACTGAGTCCACGGTCCCACGTGCCAATGAAGGGCGCACGCATCTGTGGAGCAATTCCTCATGGCGCTTGGCCTGGGAAATACATTTATGTCTAATTTTATCCACTCAAACTTTAGGATAAATCACCTGTGCTCTTATTGTGAAAGGCGTGTTTACCTCCTGAGTCCATGGCACATCTTGGAGGGGACTTTGGTACCGTTCGTGTCCTGGCAGTAAACTTGTTGGTGCTGCGTCGCCAGACTTGGACCCACACAGCGTCCATGACACTAAAATGGAACCAAATGAGGTCAGTTATGGGTTGTGTGCAGGATCCGTGGTGTCAGAAGCAGAATTTAGCTGTTCTGACAAATACATTATTTTCTGCCTCTCTTTATCAATGTGTTGGGTTCATAGTAATGAGTTAATAAAGACCTAACTTTGAAAAAAATGTTTGCAATACATCAATAAAGTGAGGAATGAGCACACTCACCAGCCCCCAGGAGGTAGTGGTCCATCGAGCACAGGGCAGAACGTTGCAAAGCCTGGTGTTAGATGGTTTCTTCCCTTCTCGTAGGCACTGCCAGCTTTCTACTTCTCTTAAACTGCTTTCAGGACCCCTCATGCACCGGACCCTTCTAGACTGAGATCCACTTCCGCAAGTAGCTGAGCAGGGTGACCAAACGTCTGCTCGCCATCCAACCGAGCTGGAAGGAAAAACAAAATGAACAACTTAGGGATGTCTACGTTTTTTTTTATTTGGTGCCAAAAAGATTTGTTTTATTACAGAAGAGGATTAGGACCACAGAGCAATTTTTTTCAGAGTTCCGATTTTAATCTCAGAATTCTGAAAAAATAAAAAGTCAGAATTTTGACTTTTTCTTCATTCTGAGAAAAAAAAAATCCCAAAATTTCTGTGAAAGAATTATGACTTTAATCTCAGAATTCTGAAAAAA